ATGGGTGTGTGTCACCGTCCCCAGGGTGTCCCCGTCCTCGGGGTGGGGGTGTCACCGTCCCCAGGGTGTCACCATCTCCATGGGTGTGTGTCACCATCCCCACGGTGTCCCCGGGGTGTCACTGTCCCCAGATTGGGGGTGTCACCGTCACCAGGGTGTCCCCAGGGTGTCCCCGTCCTCGGGGTGGGGGTGTCACCGTCCCCATGGGTGTGTGTCACCATCCCCAGGTGTCTCCAGGGTGTCCCCGTCCCCAGAGGGTCATCAGGAGGGGGGTGTCACCATCCCCAGGGTGTCACTGTCCCCATGGGTGTGTGTCACCATCTCCAGGGTGTCCCCAGGGTGTCCCCATCTCCAGGACGGGGGTGTAAACATCATGGGGGTGTCACCGCCACAAGGGTGTCCCCGGGGGTGTCACTGTCCCCAGATTGGGGGTCAGGGGTGTGTGTCACAATCCCCAGGGTGTCCCCGGGGTGTCCCCATCTCCAGGATGGGGGTGTCACCATCTCCAGGGTGTCACCGTCCCCATAGGTGTGTGTCACCATCCCCAGGGTGTCCCCGGGGTGTCCCCGTCCCCGGGGTGGGGGTGTCACCATCATGGGGGTGTCCCCACCAGTGTCCCCATCCCCGGGGTGGGGGTGTCCCCGTCCCCTCCCCCGCGGATGCCACCGCCGGACCCTCATTAAAGCCCTTTGGGGACGTCACCGGTGTCCTCCTTTCTGGGGGGGAGGGGGGCAGCGCCGGGGGGGACGCGTGATGTCACCCACCAGTACGCCCTCACCCCTCTCCCAGTACCAACTGGTTCCCGCTCGCCCCTCCCAGTACGGAGGGCGTCCCACGTCCCACCCAAGGTCTTTCTCCAGAGCTTCGGTGGCCCTCGTGGTGGCTCCTCCTCGGTGGCCTCCGGGTGGCACTTACACCCCGAGAAGGTCTCGAGGGCCACCGTGGGGTGACGGAGGAGAAGACCTCTCCCATGGGGACAGCCCAACCCGGAGGTGACACCCACCGGGGGAGGAGAAGCCGAGAGGGTGAAGGGGGTGGAGATGGTGTGGTCAAAGGTCACCTTAAGGTGGAGACCACCTCTGGTGTCCCCGTCCCCCCCTCCCCCAAAGCTCTCCGGGGTCTTCTCTCCCAGTCCGGTGGCCCAGTTGGGATGGTGGGGGGCACTCAAGACCACCCAACCATGGAGAACGTCCACCTCCTCGCTGGTGGACCACTGGGGAGAACACTGAAGTTCTCAAGAACTTGGTTGCTTCAGTCTTCGCCGGTGACCACCATCGACCTCCAGGGGGAGATCTGCTCCTCCATGGACATCTGTGGGCCACTGGTGGAGATCTGCTCCATTGTGGACCTCCAGGGGGAGATCTGCTCCTCCGTGGACATCTGTGGGCCACTGGTGGAGATCTGCTCCATTGTGGACCTCCAGGGGGAGATCTGCTCCTCCGTGGACATCTGTGGGCCACTGGTGGAGATCTGCTCCATTGTGGACCTCCAGGGGGAGATCTGCTCCTCCATGGACATCTGTGGGTCACTGGTGGAGATCTGCTCCACTGTGGACCTCTGTGGGCTGTAGGAGGAGATCTGCTCCACCATGGACCTCCAGGAGGTGGCGGTGGAGATCTGCTCCACCATGGACCTCCAACGGGAGATCCACTCCACCATGGACCTGTGGACCTCCAGGGGGAGATCTGCTCCTCCGTGGACATCTGTGGGTCACTGGTGGAGATCTGCTCCATTGTGGACCTCCAGGGGGAGATCTGCTCCACCATGGACCTCCAGGAGGTGGTGGTGGAGATCTGCTCCACCATGGACCTCCAGGAGGTGGCGGTGGAGATCTGCTCCACCATGGACCTCTGTGGGCTTCAGATGGAGATCTGCCCCAACATGGACCTATGTGGGCTATTGGTGGAGATCTGCTCCACCATGGACCTCCAGGGGGAGATCTCCTCGACCATGGACCTCTGTGGTCTTCAGGTAGAGATCTGCTCCACCATGGACCTTTCTGGACTGCACGGGGAAATCCGCTCCACCATGGACCTCCAGGAGGTGGCAGTGGAGATCTCCCCCACCATGGACCTCCAGGTGGAGATCTGCTCCACCATGGACCTCTGTCGGCTTCAGGTGGAGATCTGCTCCACCGTGGACCTCCATGGAACTACCTCCAAGCTCCAGTGGAGGAGGGATGGGGCAGCCTCCGGTGGGGAACCTCTTTGGCCGCTGGAGATGACACCAGACGTCCATCTTTCAGGATGACAGAACCCCTCTCCGTGACCTTTGGCGCCGCCTCCACAGAGGTTCATCTGACGAACGTGCGGCCTCCACCTCTGGGGCCACCACCAGCAGAAGGACGTGGACCTGGTGGAGCGGGGCCAGAGGAGGCCGTGGAGGTGCTCCAAGGGCTGGAGAACCTCTACTGGGAGGAGAGACTGGGAGAGTTGGGGGGGAGGTTCAACCTGGAGAGGAGGAGGTTCCGGGGAGACCTCGGGGACCTTCATATCCTGAAGGAGCTCCAGGAGAGGTGGAGAAGACCTTTCTCCGAGGCCATGGGGTGACGGGACGAGGGGGAACGGCTCCGGACTGGGAGAGGGGAGATTGAGATGGGACGTGAGGAGGACATTGTTCGCTCTGAGGGCAACACCCCCATGGGGTCCCCCCACCAACATCTCCTCTGTGTCCACCTCAGCATCTCCTGGTGTCCCCCCATGGTGGTGTCCCCCCCATGACATCTCCTCCGTGACCCTCTTGGCATCTCCTGGTGTCCCCCCATGGCATTGTCCCCTCGGTATCCACCTCAGCATCTCCTGGTGTCTCCCATGGCATTGTCCCCTCGGTGTCCACCTCAGCTTCTCCTGGTGTCCCCCCATGGTGTCCCCTCTCCGTAACATCTCCTCCGTGTCCCTCTTGGCATCTCCTGGTGCCCCCCATGGCATTGTCCCCTCGGTATCCACCTCAGCATCTCCTGGTGTCTCCCATGGCATTGTCCCCTCGGTGTCCACCTCAGCTGAAGGAGCTCCAGGAGAGGTGGATCCCCTCTCCGTAACATCTCCTCCGTGTCCCTCTTGGCATCTCCTGGTGTCGCCTCATGGTCCCCCTCTCATGTCCCCACGGTGTCCACCTCAGCACCTTCTGGTGTCCCCCCATGGGGTCCCCTCTCCATAACATCTCCTCCGTGTCCCTCTTGGCATCTCCTGGTGTCCCCCCATGGCGGTGTCCCCCCCATAACCTCTCCTCCGTGTCCCTCTTGGCATCTCCTGGTGTCCCCCCATGGCGGTGTCCCCCCCATAACCTCTCCTCCGTGTCCCTCTTGGCATCTCCTGGTGTCCCCCCATGGCGGTGTCCCCCCCATAACCTCTCCTCCGTGTCCCTCTTGGCATCTCCTGGTGTCCCCCCATGGCGTTGTCCCCTCGGTGTCCACCTCAGAACCTTCCTGTGTCCCCCCATGGTGTTGCCCCGCCCCATTGTCCATCTTGGCATCTCCTGGTGTCCCCTCATTGTCCCCCCTCTTGTGACCCCATGGTGTCCACCTCAGCGTCTCCTGGTGTCTCCCCATGATGGTGTCCCCTCCGTGTCCACCTCACCATCTCCTGGTGTCCCCCCGTGGTATTGTCCCCTCCGTGTCCATCTGGGCATCTCCTGGTGACCCCATGGTGGTGTCCCCCCCATGACATCTCCTCGATGTCCCTCTTGGCAGCTCTTGGTGTCCCCCCATGGCATTGTCCCCTCAGTGTCCACTTCAGCACCTTCTGGTGTCCCCCCATGACGTTGTCCCCTAACCCCATTGTCCATCTTGGGATCTCCTGGTGTCCCCCCATGGCGTTGTCCCCTCCGTGTCCACCTCAGCATCTCCTGGTGTCCCCCCATGGCGGTGTCCCCCCCATGACATCTCCTCCAGGACCCTCTTGGCATCTCCTGGTGTCCCCCCATGATGGTGTCCCCTCGGTGTCCACCTCAGCATCTCCTGGTGGTCCCCCTATGGTGTCCCCTCTCCATAACATTTCCTCCGTGTCCCTCTCGGCATCTCCTGGTGTCCCCCATGGCATTGTCCCCTCGGTGTCCACCTCACCATCTCCTGGTGTCCCCCCATGGTGTCACCCAAAGTCCCCCTCAAGGTCCCCCTCGGCACCTCCTGCTGTCCCCACGGTGTCCCCCCTCCACGACCTCCTCCCGGCCCTCAGCAGGACCATCACCTTCCTCCTGGTGGCCCCGGTGGCCCTGGCCACCTCCCGCCCCCCCTCTTGTG